GGTTGCTTTGCTCACAAATCAGTTGCTAGTAATCATCCACCCATAAACACTGCTGACTGATGTTATATATTGGGTTACAGGCGTCCGCATTATTCAAAGGATGGCAGCCGTGTTCTCAGTAGTAGAGTCGTGGATGATGATGCCAGCATTGATACTGGTTTGTTTGGGTCAACACTCCGCATTACCCCTCAACCAGTTGAATGGTGCAATTGGACTAGGGGTAAGTTTACTTCAGCAGTTACATGGAGTTACACTAGTCTTTGAGTAGAAGTGTAATGTTGCAATAACCGACCTGATAAACAAGTGCCGTATTGTTTTGTTCTTTCAGGTTAGTTGGTGTCTCTCTTGGGATCCAATACTCTGATCCCTATACCATATACCATGGACAACCGGTCTTGTACTCCTCCCACCACAGGTTCACTCTTTGTTATGCTGTATTTTGTAATGAGTAGCCCGAGTATAAAGTGTCAGTATAATGATTAAATGTTATTCAGCGTGTTCATACAGTAGAACTCTCTTCTCTAAGGACACCCCTGTGGCGAGGACACCTCTTAGGATAACCGTTTCTTTGGGAAGCAACCTAAACCCCTGAAATAAATGGTTCTCTCCCAATCAAGTATAAGGGGTTCCACTGTATTTTTCCAGATATGAGTGCATGCTCTATTGCTGCCACTGTAGGACTTACTACTCATCCATATGCTCTAATTCTGTGGGTCCTTTTGGATGCATAGAGAAACAAATGGCCTGGAAGTTGTGTGTAATAGTCATGCCACTGTATATACCAACATTGTTCTTGAGAGTTTCCATTTGGTGGCTGCACTCACTACTGACAGAGACTCCACCTATCAATAGTAACAGTATATACATAATTATCTTCCAACACAGAGACTCCAAGTATTGAGACTCCTACTACCAAATAGACCAACTGTTAGCACTACTGAGTCTGCTACTCACCAACTACACCAGCCGCCACACTTACTACTCAACAGCCCACCTCCAGGATCTGTGAATGGACACAAACCACACAAGGTACTATATATATATATGTAGAAATCCTTTGAGAGAAAAAACTGTCATGATTAGAGAAACCATCTGTTAATGCTTTTCGCTGTGAATGTTGCTGTGATAAGTGAACAACTGGGAAATGGTGAAGAATTTTTTTGTCTTATGTACTTGTTTCGCCAAAGTTTTTGTCACTCACTACTTCATTATGCAGTCTCAATGCAGCCATACATGTATCAGGGCTGCTGGGGGGAGAAAAAATTCATAGTGGGGAGAAGTTTTATCATGCGTGCACAATACATAATAAATGGCTTAGTGAGATTAAATAGCAACTCTTTGTTCCTGCCTAGGCGAAGCTTTGAGGACGTTGCAATGGTTTGATCAGCTCATCCGTAACGTATGGAGATGACGTGCACTCGCAACCCGGAGTGCGACACGGCCAACTGTACCATCACCAACCCTTCCTTCAGCGGCCACACCCCTCTCGTTGACGCTTCTGTCCTGTCGTGTACCTCGACCTGGGTTCGACTGTCGCCAGGAAACCCCGGGGCAGCTGCTGATAGACAGAGTGCGGACCATCTCAGAGTGGCATGAGCTAACTCCCAACACTGTACTGGACATGACTGTGGACCAGAGGAACAACAACTCATTGGCCTTGCGTATGTACTTAATACTAGAACAAATTGCAACCACATTTTTTGGTAACCAGAGTGCAAAATCAGTATTTCATGATATATGGTATGGTGCACCACCCTTCTATAGAAATCATGTCAATTTTGATGACATATAGGTGGGTCATTGGTCGCTTATTAGTATCTTTCAGTACGTTACAACTATGTGCCCATAGGCACACTGCCTACGACTACAGTATGTGAAAGGTATTGGTTTAGGTAGGTTTGTGAAATAAAGTAGTATAGTAAGAAGCTTTGTGAAAAATTAAAGTATTGTTTTAGGTAAGTGTGAAATTAAAAGTATTGTTTTAGGTGAAATGAAAGTAACCTGTTGTGTCCATGTGTCCAGGCAACAGTGAGGGCTGATCTGGGGTCACTACAATCAGTATTCCAATTCTGACATACACTATTCTACCTCTGGATAAAAGATCATGCTCTCCTGAAGGTGACTATTTTTCGTAAATGTGTGATTTCTGTGTAGCTACACTATGTAAAGCTACTGGCTGTGGCACAAACCACTTCAAAGAAATTGGGTGTGTAAACTCTGTCATAATTGCATACCGAAACGGCTTGGTGAAAATGGTTGTCATGTGCTGCATTAACATGTTTATTAAAGGCCCATCTGGAATTGGACGTTAAAATTGTTTACTTCTATTAATGTACGTAGGAATTGTGGCAAGTGTTACTCCATCGCCTGCCCCTCCTACCCCTGGTGTGGTACCTACCACCAGTACCACTGGCTCCACTAGCACTTCTACCCCTGGTGTGGTCGTCCCTACCACCAGTACACTAGCAGCTCTACCCTGGTGTGGTCCCTACCACAAGCACCAGTGGCAACTACTCACCATTCAGAGCCCCATCACTACCCCTACCAGTGCTCCTACAGCTGTCAGTACCGTTGCAGAACCTTCTTCTGATACTCCCACTACCACTGATGGAACATACACCACTGGAGAAATTACTACTGAGCAACCTACCACTGGTTAGTGGTACTATCCTAAACTCATGGGCTTCCAACTGTTTGTGTATGTGATATATCCCCACAGCTGATGGCAAGAACACTACATGTTCCGTGTTGGAGGAAATAGCTGCCAATGCTGAGGTCTTCACGTGTACTGCAGACACAACCAGACCTTGCGACACAGTCGACTGCTCTGCGCTTGATTATACACTGCAGAGTTTGTACTCCGCTGCCTGCCGTACCCCACCTGCCATAAGAATAGTCATCAACAGGAGGAGACGGGGGTACTGGACGAGACTATCGATAGCTCCAGGGTGATTGTAGTTCCTCAGTTGCTTGGACTTGTTCTGAACATAACTCTCGACCAGTTTTGAGGATGCTATTGGGCTGCAGGTGGGTACATACATATGACATAGTATTGGGCTGGTTAAGTGGTGTTGTCCTTTGTGCCAAGTAGTAGGAAGAGTGCTCGTCCAAAGGCACTGTGTCATCCCAAAAAGGAAAGCTCTCTAAATGTGCCCTTGGTGTTGTTGACATGCCACTTGCCATGCTATGGTTTATGGGGCTTTAATACTACGCTAAAAGGTGTAGCCCACGGGAAGTGAACTGTAGCTATTCACTTCGTGGGTTCTTGGTTTGTGGGAAAGTGTCGGTGCTGGGACACTGTCAGTCAATACAGCACAGGATGTGAGCAAAGCTCTCCCTGGAACCTCTGATTCTCCCTTTATGATGACAAGAGAGGAAGCCCCTGATATTAGGGACTCAGTTTGGAATCACTTAAGGTGTGGCACGAGAGTGTAGCACAGGCCAAGTATCACACAAAACAGAACCCTTGTAGTAATACACAGCGAGTGATAGTGACTGGAGTTGCATAGTACATGCAATGTCTGCAGTAGTCAAAACATTGAGGCCTTTAAAGTGTATCCCTGGCTTACTGATAGTGAGGGCTTGCAAAACAAGGTGGGTGAATCTTCCTAATGTTGTACTGCACGTAGAATTGTAGATACAGGATGCCATGCTGTGAATGTCTAAGGTGCATGACCACACTCCAGTCCAATGTCCACATTATGTGTGTGAGTGCAATTGCTGGCCATGAATGTACATGCTTTAGCTGAGCTCCCCAGCCAGTTGTGGGCCAATGTAAATGTCTTGCACTAGAGCTCAGCAATGATTCATGGGCAGCTAGCAAGTGAGCATGCAATCTCTACGATTTGGTAAAATCTTATCATAAACTATTCTGAGGTTCAGAGCTACTTTCCCTTAGGTTGAAGAACATTGAGGGGCAAACACTCTGAATGTTATCAAGTACACAGTCATTCCTCTGGAGAGGCCAAGAACTGTGAGTGAATCTTCAACTTACTGAAGACGCATTGCATGATGACAAATTGTGCCATGCTCGTGACTTGATTATTGTGTACTCTCTTGCATGCAAAGGTACAGGTGAAGGGGGCAAAGATGGAAGAAGGAAGTGAAGGTACAAAAGCTCCAGGGGACTCGGAAGAGCCGTCATCTCACGTTCAGCTGGTTTCCAGTTTCATTCTTTTGCCTCCTTCTCCTCCTCTCACTCATCACACTCAATGAATCAATGTCATCACTGCAAATTTTATCCTGCAGATTAGCTATGTATAAGTATATTATGATAATTATGATAAATGAAGGGAGCAAGACACAAGTACGTTTATGCGAACACACGTGACTGGCTGTTATGCGCCTGCGCAGCGTAGACCGACGCACAAGTCAGCGCTTCAGTTGAGCTTTGTTTCTACTACAGGAGACCACCTTTCACTGCTGAACAAGAGGAGTAGCTTGTTCTAGATGGCATATACCACAACTACGAGTTTGTATCCATTGGTTTTGACGTTGATCTTCGCCTTGCTGTAGTTACAGGTAAGACCATGGGCTATGTACAGTAGCGTACCTAGCGGACCGTGGCCCTGAGAGCTCGTATGCGAAATGTTATAATGTCAGAGACCAAGGTGATTATGGCGTATATAGCTCTACTGAAAGCTAGCGATATTATGTTCACATAAACTATATTTCTGTATACAGTTGCAGCTCGAATCAGGTACATGTGATGCACGTGACAGCATAGACGATGACAGTACAACCCTCACCTGCACCACTAACTCTGTCTGCAACAAAACTACCTGTACTTCTTCAGGGCCGCTCTCAAGGATTGAGCACTTTGCCTAGAGCTTGCTGCCCTGTATGGACCTTCCAGGTTATATACATGCACCTTAGCACGTTGCGTGCATTAGAAACTTGGACATGGTGATAGACGTGCACCCACCAAAAATGGGGTGGGGTAGGTGTACCATATTATTATACTACGTACATTTGCGGAATTTGCCTTGGTGTGAAAACATTGCCTGGAGAGTCCAACATGTCAGGCAAAAACATGTTGTGTCAACTGACATGTTATTTATCTCAAAGAGTCTGGCTACAGGATCGGATGTGTCTGTTTAGGTTTGTGTGTTGTTTACGATGACCATCCCACATTACGTAGTATGTCTGCTGACACCGCACTGCGGTGTCCGTTTCATTTTATTCGAGTGCAATCCCGTGTCCTCAATCAAGTAGTGACTGAATCTGTCAGTGGGATTGATACTGGAGTGTTTGGAACCAAACACCTCAACGTACTCTTGACCAGCTGATGGTGTGCAATTGGACTAGAAGTAAGCTAACCCTGGTCATCTTGTTATTGTATTCGTTATCGCCCGCAAGAATTGTTTTTCATAATTTAGTCTTTCCTTTAAATGCCACATGTTCAAGTGTTTATGAGATGATGTTGTACTGATGGTAAGCTCTTTATGCAATATGGTACATCTGTTTTACATTCTTCTTGCTGGTACTTTCGGTTCGTTTGACCACTTCCTTTTGGCACTTCTACATCATTCCCGACACAGATACCGCTGGACACTCTGAGGTCCTGGACCGCTCCCCCCCACCCCCCCCCCCCAAGGTCACTGTTGTAGCGACATACATATACACGTGCATTTTAATAATATGGCTTCAACTTACACCACGGTTTCGTATACCTTCCACTTGTCGCGGCTTTTGGACGAGTACGCATGCTGCAGTACTGCTATGTACTACGTAATTATAATAGCGAAGGCGAGGAGGACCTGAGCAAGCAGCTCTAGCATTAGCTTTCCACGTAAACTGGAGCTTCGAGCTAGCTACGTTTGAACATAATATGCATTCTTCTATCATGTAGCATTATTGGAAAAACTCTACAGCTAGGTGTGACCTTGTTTTTGGCGAAAGCAAAGGGTACTGTGTGTTGCTATGTATGATCTTGCATGCATTATTTGACAGTTGTAGCCCAAAACCAGGGGACATGTGATGCAGTTGACCGCATGATTCGAGGTGCCAGATCCTTATCCTGCACCAGAAACACCGCCTGCAATAAGACTGACTGTACTTCCAGTCTCCTGTCTGGATACACTCTCACCATGGAGCTTCTGTCCTGCAGAAACCCTCCAGGTACTATAGTCTTCTATTGCCATCGTGTGTGTGTGAATCATGGAGAGGGCTCTCACAAAGAGCGCTGGTGGTACGTATGAGTGGAGTGAGAGTGTGGCGTGAGAAGCCAGCTACTCGATACCTACTCCATACCTACCAATCATCCCGCTTTTCGCTTGATAATCAAGCAAAAACACTGCCTATCCCACCAGAAAATCGCCAAATCCCTATCTTTTTGTGCTAACCCTGTGATGATCAGGCCTATACATTTGAGTGGACACGCAGCATTTCAAGCACAACGACTCCAAATCAAGCAAATTTGACCATTTCTCAAGCAAAGGTTCATCTGCAGGTTGGTAGGTATGTTACTCATCTGAAATGTGCCAACTGAGTGACGTCTTAACACCGATCATGTCCACAAGCATTAAGTACAGCAATTCAGTGGTTGCTTTGCTCACAAATCAGTTGCTAGTAATCTCCACCCATAAACACTGCTGAACTGATGTTATAATTATATTGGGTTACAGGCGTCCGCGTTATTCTAAAGGATGGCAGCCGTGTTCTCAGTAGTAGAGTCGTGGATGATGATGCCAGCATTGATACTGGTTTGTTTGGGTCAACACTCCGCATTACCCTCAACCAGTTGGATGGTGCAATTGGACTAGGGGTAAGTTTACTTCAGCAGTTACTGGTGTTACACTAGTCTTTGATGTAGAAGTGTAATGTTGCAATAACCGACCTGATAAACAAGTGCCGTATTGTTTTTGTTCCTTTCAGGTTAGTTTGGAGTCTCTCTTGGGATCCAGTACTCTGATTCCCTATACCATTATACCACTGGACAACGGGTCTTGTACTCCTCCCACCACAGGTTCATCTTTGTATTTTGTAATGAGTATATAGCCCGATTATAAAGTGTCAGGTATAATTGATAAATGTTATCCAGCGTGGTTCATACAGTAGAACTCTCTTCTCTAAGGACACCCCTGTGGCGAGGACACCTCTTAGGATACCGTTTCTTTGGAAGCAACCTAACCCCTGAAATAATGGTTCTCTCCCAATCAAGTATAAGGGGTTCCACTGTATTTTTCCAGATATGAGTGCATGCTCTATTGCTGCCACTGGGTAGGACTTACTACTCATCCATATGCTCTAAATTCTGTGGATCCTTTTGGATGCATAGAGAAACAAATGGCCTGGAAGTTGTGTGTAATAGTCATGCCACTGTATATACCAACATTGTTCTTGAGAGTTTCCATTTGGTGAGCTGCACTCTACTACTGACAGAGACTCCACCTATCAATAGTAACAGTATATACATAATTATCTTCCAACACAGAGACTCCAAGTATTGAGACTCCTACTACTAATAGACCAACTGTTAGCACTACTGCTGCTACTCCAACTAACACCGCCGCCACTACTACTATTCAGACACCCACTCCAGGATCTGTGAATGGGACACAACCCACACAAGGTATATATATAATATTGTAGGAAATCCTTTGAGAGAAAAAACTGTCATGATTAGAGAAACATCTGTTAATGCTTTTCGCTTGGAAATTATGTTGGCTGGTGACAACTGGGAATGGTGAAGAATTTTATAGTCTTTTGTACTTGTTTCGCCAAAGTTTTTGTCACCAACTATTTCATTATGCAGTCTCATGCACCATTCATTTATCAGGGGCTGCTGGAGGGAGAAAAAATTCATAGTGGGGGAGAAGTTTTATCATGTCGTGCACAATACATAATAATGGCTAGTGAGATTAAATAGCAACTTTTTTTGTTTTGTTCCTGCCTAGGGCCGAATGCTGAGACGTGCAATGGGTTTGATCAGCTCATCCGTAACGTAATGGAGATGACGTGCACTCGCAACCCGGAGTGCGACACGGCCAACTGTACCATCACCAACCCTTCCTTCAGCGGCCACACCCTCTCGTTGACGCTTCTGTCCTGTCGTGTACCTCGACCTGGGGTTCGACTGGTCGCCAGGAACCCCGGGGGCCAGCTGCTGATAGACAGAGTGCTGGACCAGTCTCAGAGTGGCATTGAGCTAACTCCCAACACTGTACTGGACATGACTGTGGACCAGAGGAACAACAACTCCATTGGCCTTGCTGTATGTACATTAATACTAGAACAAATGCAACACATTTTTTGGTTAACCAGAGTGCAAAATTCAGTAGTTTCATGAGTATTATGGTATGGTGGCACCACCTTCTATAGAAATCATTCAATTTTGATGACCATATAGGTGGGTCATTGGTCGCTAATTAGTATTCTTTCAGTACGTTACAACTTATGTGCCCATAGGCACCACGTGCCTACGATACGTATGTGAAAGGTATTGTTTTAGGTAGGGTTTGTGAAATTAAAAGTATTGTTTTAAGTAAGCTTTGTGAAAAATTTAAAGTATTGTTTTAGGTAAGGTTTGTGAAATTAAAAGTATTGTTTTAGGTGAAATGAAAGTAACCTGTTGTGTCCATGTGTCCAGGCAACAGTGAGGGCTGATCTGGGGTTCACTACAATCAGTATTCCAATTCTGACATACACTATTCTACCTCTGGATAAAAGATCATGCTCTCCTGAAGGTGACTATTTTTTCGTAAAGTGTGATTTCTGTAGCTACACTATGTAGCTACTGGGCACAAACCACTTCAAAGAAATTTGGTGTAAACTCTATCATAATTGCAAACCGAAACTGGCTTGGTGAAAATGGTAGTCATGTGCTGCATTAGCACATTTATTAAGGGCCCATCTGGAATTGGACGTTAAAATCGGTTACTCCTATTAATGTACATAGGAATTGTGGCAAGTGTCACTCCATCGCCTGCCCCTCCTACCCCTGGTGTGGTACCTACCACCAGTACCACTGGCTCCACTAGCACTTCTACCCCTGGTGTGGTCCCTACCACCAGTACCACTAGCACTACTACCATTCAGAGCCCCATCCCTACCCCTACCAGTGCTCCTACAGCTGTCAGTACCATTGCAGAACCTTCTTCTGATACCCCCACTTCCACTGATGGAACATCTACCACTGGAGAAATTACTACTGAGCAACCTACCACTGGTTAGTGGCACTATCCTAAACACTCTGGGCTTCCAACTGTTTGTGTATGTGATATTTCCCCACAGCTGATGGCAAGAACACTACATGTTCCGTGTTGGAGGAAATAGCTGCCAATGCTGAGGTCTTCACGTGTACTGCAGACACAACCGAACCTTGCGACACAGTCGACTGCTCTGCGTTTGATTTATACACTGCAGAGTTTGTACTCCTGCCCTGCCGTACCCCACCCGCCATAAGAATAGTCATCAACCAGGAGGAGACGCCGGTATTGGATGAGACTATCGATCGCTCCAGGGTGATTGTAGTTCCTCAGTTGCTTGGACTTGTTCTGAACATAACTCTCGACCAGTTTGAGGATGCTATTGGGCTGCAGGTTTGTGTACATACATATGTCATCGTATTTGACTGGTGTTGTATATACTCAATCCCTTTGTGCCATAGTAGGAAGAGTGCTCGTCCAAAGGCACTGTGTCATCCCAAAAAGGAAAGCTCTCTAAATGTGTTTTTTCCCCTTGGTAACTGTAGCTATTCACTTCGTGGGTTCTTGGTTTTGTCTGTGCTGGGACACTGTCAGTCAATACAATAGGACCCTTGTAGTAATACACAGGCCTTTATTACGATTATATAATTATTATAGTGACTGGAGTTTCTTGGTCCTTACGCATAGTACATGTCTGCAGTAGTCAAAAACAATGAGGCCTTTAAAGTGTGTATCGGTGGCTTACTGATAGTGAGGGCTCAAAACAAGGTGAATGTTGTACTGCACATAGAATTGTAGGTATATTATGCCATGCTGTGGATGTCTAAGGTGCATGTCACACTCCAATGTTCACATGAGTGCAATTGCTGGCCATGAATGTACATGCTTTAGCTGAGCTCCCAGCCAGTTGGCCAATGTAAATGTCTTGCACTAAGGAGCTCAGCAATGATTCATGGGCAGCTAGCAAGTGAGCATGCAATCTCTACGATTTGGTAAAATCTTGTCATAAACTATTCTGAGGTTCAGAGCTACTTTCCCTTAGGTTGAAGGAACATTGAGGGGCAACACTCTGAATGTTATCAAGTACACAGTCATTCCTCTGGAGAAGGCCAAGAACTGTGAGTGAATCTTCAACTTACTGAAGACGCATTGCATGATGACAAATTGTGCCATGCTCGTGGCTTGATTATTGTGTACTCTCTTGCAGGCAAAGGTACAGGTGAAGGGGGCAAAGATGGAGAAGGAAGTGAAGGTACAAAAGCTCCAGGGGACTCGGAAGAGCCGTCATCACGTTCAGCTGGTTTCCAGTTTCATTTCTTTTGGCCTCTTCTCCTCCTCTCACTCATCACACTCAAATGAATCAATGTCATCACAGAAAAAAATTGTTCTGCAGATTAGCTATGTTTATAAGTATGTGATAATTATGATAAATGAAGGGAGCAAGACACAAGTTTATGCGAACACATGGCTGGCTGTTATGCGCCTGCGCAGCGTATATAGACCGACGCACAAGTCAGCGCTTCCGTTGAGCCTTGTTTCTACAAACAGCAGCCACCTTTCACTGCTGAACAAGAGGAGTAGCTTGTTCTAGATGGCTCTACCACAACTACGAGTTTCGTATCCATTGGTTTTGACGTTGATCTTCGCCTGCTGTAGTACAGGTAAGGCCACAGCTACGTACGTTACGTAGCTACGTGGCGAGAGCTCACCTATGCGAATATGTTCTGAGACCAAGGTGATAATTATGGCTATATAATATAGCTCTTCTGATTCTAGATTATGTTTCACACAACTATATTTCTATATCTATACAGTTGCCGCTCTGAATCAGGGTACATGTGATGCACTTGACAGCATAGACGATGACAGTACAACCCTCACCTGCACCACTAACTCTGTCTGCGACAAAACTACCTGTATTTCAGGCACTCTCTCAGGATTCAAACTTTGCCTAGAGCTTCTGCCCTGTATGGACATTCCAGGTTATAATACATGCACATTAGCACGTTGTGCATTAGAAACTTGGACATGGTAATAGACGTGCACCCCCAAAAATTGGGTATGTGTACCATAATGTGTCTAGTGTGAAAGATTTGTCGACATCTGCCAACATGTCAGGCAAACACGTTGTGTCAACTGACATTTATCTCCAAGAAGTCTGGCTACATGTCCAGAGTATGAAATTACCATAATTATATACAAGCATATAATTATACACTATGCGTAGACACATGCTAGCAGGAAAGGTACAGCTGTTCGTAACTCAACAACAGCACGTGATAACACAGGATGCACATTTTGTAAACTGCACAACCTATAAAGCTACCTGCTCCAAAGAGTGAGAGTGAGTGCTTGTTTTGTCAAGATGGGCAGCTATATTCTACTGGTCCTCTTTCTAGTAGCACTACCTAATGTACAACTGGGACATTCCCAGTGTGACGGTAAGGTTTAGTAAGTCTTTTTTTTGCAGCAATGATATGCCATTATTTGCAGTTGTGAGGATTGCAGCAGCTGTACATGAAACTTTGGGACTAACTCTTGAGGAGATGAAGGAAAGCATTAAAGCAATAGGTTTTCACACATGTGGAGGTACAGCAGGTTGGAGACGTGCAGTCTACCTGGATATGACAGACCCCAACACCAACTGTCCCTCTGGATAGAACATGACTGAATACTCCAAGAGAACCTGTGGCAGAGCTAGCAATGCTTCTTGGACTTGTGACCCAGTTTATTTTCCCGTCAGTGGAGGACCATACAGTCAGGTGTGTAGTAGGATTAGAGCCTACCAGTGGGGACTGCCCGATGCTTTTCTTGGATTTAAGCGTGGCCAGACTACTATTAATGATGCTTACTTCAGCGGAGTTGCTGTGATGCACGGCAGTCCTCGACAACACATTTGGACATTTGCTTGTGGACCATTTGAGAACCGACCAGATCATTCTTCCCAGCTTGTCCATGTGGCACTAATGGTAGTATACCGGTCCCACAATTTGTTGGTGAAGATTACTTCTGTGAGACTGGATATGAACCGCCTTGCTCCTCGGATGCTGCAAAGTACAGACTCCACTCCAGGGACACTGTATGGGATGGGAGAAACTGTCACCCAAACAGTTCATGTTGTTCTTTCCGCAATCCTCCATATTTCACCAAAACCCTCGACCAGTCAACTACTGATGACCTTGAACTGAGGATGTGCCTCCCAGAAGTCAACAACATAGCAGTGGAACTGGTTGAGCTGTATGTAAAGTAGTCGCTAAAATGCTACGTACCATGACTGACAGTTATTACCAAATGAACTCATGTAATTAACGTGTGTATGTGTGCATAGCTAACGTTTTTTGTGAAAAATTGACAAGTGCAAATTCATCAACCTTTCAAAATCTAAAAGCAACACATTTGAGATGCAGTAGAGTGTCTGCAGTATCTGCTATGGTCAATGTACATTCTGGCCACTGAGATTATACGTATTCGGGCTAATATTATAGAGACATAGGGGGATAGGTTAAAGAGAACACCAAAATCACTTTAAACACAATTCTATTATAGGCTATGAGTGTCATGTGATAGAGTCCAACATGTCAGCAGTGACTGGCCACGTGCCACGAGGTGGGAGTGCCGAGTGACAGCTCCTCTGCTGGGCCAGGGGAGGGAGGTGGGTGGAGTCAGGGGGCAGGGCCAATGGGGCCACACCCCCTCTGATGTGGAGGGTCTGTCTCTCTACTTGTCCCAGCCTCCCTGCAGTTCCACTGGAAGTGGTGGTGTTTTTGCTGACGTCCACCAGAGATGGGAGGGAGGGACTCGCTCCACTGTCTCCCACAGCGTGGGATGATGAGATACGAGTGTGCCCTGTTGAGGCCCGCAGAAGACCACTGGCAGAGAAAATATAATCTTGTTACAGAGGAATTTCATTAGGGAATGGCAAAATAGGCTCCTGGACTAGATTTCCACTGTAAAATAGGGATGCCGGAAAAAAGAGCTGCCCTGGGTGTAGTTGACTTGTTTGCTTTGCCTTTGCATTGCTACCTTGTTATGGACACGTCCACTTCTACTGCACCAGTCAGTGGTTATGATGAATCATAGGAGGTGATCTGAAAGCATTGACTAAGCCCCTGATAACTGTAAATCTTGTGTGTTTTTCTTGATTATGGAACAATTTGCTCATGTGTATCTTTATGGATTACGTACATGGATATCTCCAGCTGTTGTAGCTGTTCTCGCTGCATCTCCTCCAGCAGCTGGAGATTCCTCTGCTCCAAGTACTCCACCTCTCTCTTCAGCTCTGTCACCATCTCACCGACTGCCACAATCTGTACAGACACACTGTGATCAACTACACATAATATAAAGCCACAGTATAATGTTGTGTCAATACATTTACATACCTAATTTTTACCGTAATAAAAGACTGAGCTAAAGCCTGTTAAGTCCGATCTCATTAACAAGTTTCCATTTTAGTTAGCAGTTTGTGACAGCTAGTAGGAAACTTTAGTGAGAGAAACTTAACTAATTTCCTAGTTTTTGGGAGTTGTCAGTAAAAGCCTTTACAAACTATATGGGCTTTGGCATTAGGAAACAGTAAATTTGCGGAAGTGTTTTACTGGAATGGTTTGCAATGATAAGCCTGTGAGTGTACGTACCTCTCTTTTCAACCAGCCGTTGTCCACCATTTCTGCCCGACCCTCTTTGTCCATGGAGTCAAGTAGTTTCTCAGAGACCCTGTCCTTCTCTCTCTCCATCCTCTTCTGCCACTTGGCCTCTATCTCCAGTCTGGCCTCTCCCATTCTGCTCTCTTGCTCACCTGCACATTCATCAGAACAAAAACTGCACACCCTGAGCTGCATACTGATTTTCTTTACTGTGAGAGAAAGTGTGGGATGCAGAGCACAAGATCCACTTTGCCAGGAGATAATATGACAGGTGGTGTGGCCTGAAGCCGATCTGTTCTAAAATCAATATGGATCTAAAGATAGTCGAATGATTACTCTACAGCTATCCAGAATTTGATTGATACCTTTGACGCCCGTAATAGATCTAGCTGGGTAGCTACATTATCCTATATACCAGCAATGGACAAAAGTTTAATAGGAGTGTATATACTATACTTGTGTTATGTTGTTAGAAACCATATATTGGTGGTATTAATGTTTTTGTTAACACGGTGTTCTTTACTCACTCTCCATTTGAATCTCTTTGTCCCTCATCTCTTTCATTTGCTGCTTCATCTCTTGTGTGCGAGTCTCTTCAGTGTGCACAGCTTCTTCCTACAGTTAGACACTCCATCACACCAGTGCTGTTTGCTGTTGCAAGTAACATACTTTGTACTCCAGCCACTTGTCCAATTCTCGTCTCTCTACCTCTAATTTCTGCCCCACTGCCACTATTGTGTCCTCAAGATCTGCATGTATTGCATCACGCAAGTAAAAGCTGTGCTACAATGAACAGAGGTAAAACATCAAAACGGTGAATCATGAAACCCTGGCATGTAGACAAAGACAAAGTGGAAACGGAAGGCAAAACATTTCATAGATAAGTTGGCTTGAAGGCTATGAATGGCTTTTGTTATATAGATCTCTGGATCTAGGTTTCCTCCATGACCAAAGTATTGACAACCTTCAAGCGCCGTCTCCATGTCTCTGGCCAGCTGCAGTCTCTCCAGCATTGCCTCCTCCACTGCCTCGGCCGTCACCTCTTGTTTCTCGGCCTCCTGGCTCTCATACTCCAGGGCCTGCTGCAGCATCGCCTTCCTGTAGCCCGTCTGAACCGTCCGCAGGTCGTAGTTCTGTAGCAATAGTGCACAAAAAGCATGCACAGCTGAGCCAGCCCCTCCCATTAAACAAAGAATGTTTTTTCCGCAAATGTTGTATTATAGTATTAAGCCATTCTTCTACTATAACCTTCTCTTTCTGGCGGTAATTTCTGTCCTTGAAGTTTTCCGCTTCCTCTTCATACGTCAGTATTGAGTCCTCCTTGCCCTGAATCCTATACAGTAGAAACATAAGTGAATTGTGCGTGCACAACTGGCAGTTTGTAGTAAGCCTACGCGAGAGGATATGACTTGCCTGAATGTTAGCAGCGCCTCCCGCGCACCTTCCTTCTGGCTATCGAGGTCCGGAGGTGGCGGAAGGCCATCTTCTGACTTCTCTTTCTTCCCCTTGCCTCCTTTCTTCTTCCCCATTCGATCGCTCTACCGATTATCACTAAGCGCATGCGTTTAGCCTACGAAGAGCCCCACCCCTTTCATTGAACCGCCCCCGTCGTGTAACGTACTTTGACCTTCGAGTGTTTTTAGTGCCAAAAGCTTGGGTGGAAAAATGGCGGAGCAGGCGGCCCCAGCTAACCCGGGGGAACAGCCAATAGCGACCATGAAGCGGCTGGATTTCAAGAAGCAGAGCTTAGACGATGCCTACGCGGCGCCGGCGAACCTTCTCGAGATCGAGGTGGCGAACCCAGAGACGCACGGCTTGGCGAGGAACCGTTACACGGACTACGAGGTCCGGATGCGGGTGAGTCCTAGCGCGGCGGGCACGGCTCGGAAGGCGTGCGGAGCCCCCAGCTGGCGTGTTACTGGTAAAGAGTCTATCTCCACTCTCTGTATAGGCACATACTAGACTCTCTATGTGCTGTGTGTCTATTTGCAGACCTTCAAGTGTTGATAGAAATGCTCTCTTTACGAGTGAAGCATGTGTGTGTGCACGTGGTAAAGTGTTTAATAGCATGAAGTGTTCTGTCGTGGTACAATGCCTTCAGTGCTAGTTTAGACTCTGAATAGTGTGTATACAGCACTCTAAACCATCTTAGCCCCCCAGGTTGGTTGCTGCAGCCTTGTGTTTTTCCAACCGATTGCAACTAACATGCATGTGTGTATATATACACGTACTTAGTAAATTTTTAACTTTGTAAATATTTTCCATTACGTATATATAGACTACTTGTCTGTACATGTTATATTCAGAGACAGTAGAGTGTAAATGTGCATTATATTATTTGGTGCTCCATTGTGAGGTGTACTATAGTATTCATGAGCACATGCTAGAGATGTGTGTGTGGGGGCTGGCATTGTGTCTATGAATGGCACAGGAAGAGGAGGGGAAGTACTGTAATGCATAATGCCTTTGGCTTTTGGTGAACCTACAATATAGATGACGATCATTTGGGGATGGTTTGGGGAGACTCCATGTCTCTCCTGTGGTCTATGTGACGTTGCATCATTCTCCGCTATCTGGTCATGTGACCTCAACTCACTTACAGCTGATTCCTCATGTGACCGTGCATCATTCACACTTACCGTGTCATGTGACTCCACATCGTGGTTCGGGATATTCCAATTTTGTGTGATTCTAAGTTTTAGTACGATTGTAGCATAAGCCAGCCCTCTCTGTAACAATTAGCACACACCAAGGTAACCCTCTAAATCAATGGGACAGAAGACAGTAGTGTAGGGTGTTCTTTTTTTAGAGACTGTTCTTGAGGGAAGAGAGAGTGTGGCTATATTAGAGAGTTGTCCTCATAGACATGATCAATAGTCACCTGACCCTTTCCTATCCTGAGGGCGGGGTCTGGGAACACAACTAACTTACACATATCACTACAACTTTTGCACATAAGATTTACTACCATGCTCTTTCTGTCTCTGCCACGTCAGACCAACATACCCATCTTCAAACTTAAGGAATCGTCCGTGAGACGACGCTACAGTGACTTTGAGTGGCTAAAGAAAGAACTCGAGAGAGATAGCAAGGTTTGTAGGGTGGGACCATGTCTAATACATCATGTAGTGGGAAACATTTGAAGGGGAACCATTCGTGGTTCAGAGAAAGAAAAAAACATTTAGTCTCTCGCTTTTAGAACACAAATGTTGTTGAAGACCCCAATGTTCTCCCAATTGGTAGTTTGATGTATATACAATGAGAATGAAGAACATTATCTTCCCTGGTATGTGTAGCGTCGATTATAGTGTTGTGTGTGTGTAATTATACTGTTGCCAGGGGGATATCCACAGCGGTCCCCATTACGGAGACAGGGTGTGCATTAATTAGAGTCCTTTCTCTCTCTCCAGATTGTGGTTCCTCCGCTACCTGGCAAAGCTCTCAAAAGACAGCTTCCGTTTATGGGAGGCGACGGTGAGTTACGTAACAACTCTTTTCATTGTGAGTATATGGAGTTGTAGGCCGTGTGTTTGGTCTGGTTGGGTTTTGGCTCACCTCTCTGTGCGTTTTTAATTGCTCAGTGGCATGCAGATCTGCCAGTCAAAAGATACTTATCCCCCTAGGCATGTTGTCTTTCTGTCCTGGGGAGCTCTGCACACGTAGAAGATATTGTGTATATATGTACAACATTGTACACTATGGCCCTAGGCATATTTCTGTCCTGAGGAGCTCTGCATAGAACATACACTGTGGTCAGAATGACTGTGTATAATAATATGTGGGAAATAAAATACTTTTGGGTTTGGTGTAATTATAGTGAATTTGACTTACGTTGAGGGACGGTTAGCCAACAATTGATGGAAATCTGTCTCTCTTCCTTCACGTTTAAGAGTAACAGCAATGGGTACCATGATAGACGACTATCGTTTCCCAGCCACGGCCACAGAAGTGTGCAACTGTTTATTGTACATTGTACGTGGTGTTGCGACTGCTACAATGCTCATGTTACGTGACTCACAATGCAGTATTTTTGACGAGGAATTCATAGACGACAGAGCTGGAAGAGTTTGTAAACAAGTTAGAGGACTTGAGCGTTGCATTGGATACCAATCCTCCCACATGTCTCAAGGAAAGCTAACAACCATCCTGAGGACCCCGCCTCGTTTGCATTCATACACCCACGTAGAATTACAGAACCGAATGCAATGTTGTGTTCGCTGTGCAGGACCAGCTCAGGTCAGGTGCAAGTTTTGGCTTTCTTCACCGCATTTATAATAAGAGATATTCTAGAAAATTGGATATCATATACAGCCTTACTGACGACCGAGTAGCTCTCGCTTTCTCCTAAAATTTTTAGTGGAAAATATGTTATAAAGTGGTTTTGCCGCATCATTTTGGCAACTCATGGATCACTATCAGTGGTGGCACTCTTTAACAAGTGCAACACCAGAAAGACTTGACAGCTCTGTATACAGGCTTCGCAATAGCTAGATTAGCAATATTTTCTCTGTGACGTTTACTCCAACATACATTCACATCAATGTTTTTGCATAATGCCCTTCCCACTGCCAAAATATTCTCATTTCCTACGAATGGGAGCTAATCAGCAACCCCTTGGAGGACATTCACTGTCAACAAACTGTAATCAGAAATACATTAAATGTTCGCACTCACATTTCCGTGCCAAAAGCACAATTGCGCCTTTTGTTTCACGTGTAAGACTTTCCTTGTGTATAATTATCAACCACCATACTACTTTTGCCACTGATTAGTATATATACTACCAATACGCTGGTAATAATTATGTTGCAGTACAATAATTGTTTCAATGAATTTTCCCCTACTTAATTCCTATCTCTCTCTCTCTATCTCTTTCTCTCTATATCTCTCTCTCCCTCTCTCTCTCTCTCTCTCTCCTCTCTCATCTCTCTCTATCTCTCTCCTCTCCCTCTCTCTCTCTCTCTCTCTCTCTCTCTCTCAGGAATGCCGTCATCCACGAGCACAGAACGACGTGGCACTGCACAGGTCCTCAGAGCCATGCTGATCTTACTCCGGGAAAGTTACGGAGACAAACTGCTCGTGAAACGAGGAACAAACAACTCGATTTCAAAATTCTCTCCTTTTAAATGTCTCCTCTGTTTACTCCCTGTAGTTTTTTTGGTCTGATCCCAAAATACACGCACGCCAACAAACACACAACCAATTTTAATCGCACAGTATAATTACAGGTAGAATTATAGTTATATTTAAATCTTTAGCCGAAACTTTTCGTGGCGTGCTCCATACCGTCGCCCATTAAGATTACGCACCGCGTTTTTGAGCGAAAACGCCAGCCTCTCCAGTACAGCCTCTTCACATGAAAGAAAGATGGAAGAAGCATGAAATCGTAAAAACCTTACAGGCCAAAAAGAAGAAAGAAACGACTACTACACAGTATTGTATATGTCACGACAGAGCTGCTTCGTCGCTCACCCTCCCTCTGCCAAGCCTTCATTGGGTTTCTCCTCCTGTCTTGAAAACAAAATCATTCTGTCAATTTGAGATCCTTCCTTGCCGCCACCTCCCATTCTTAAGTAATAGTACACAAACAGTCTTGTCTCTGGATTGAAAGCCACAAGATATAGAACCTTATGTCAGCAACAACAACAGCCTCTATTAGTCACCATACCGAGACTTCTAATATTATGCGTGTTTACGAGTCATCTGCCAACGCCCTATTTAATATAAAATCTCATTCCGTTTTCAGAGTGGTACTGTTGGCTGGCCTGTTTTCCCGGAGGGTTACTTCTTCGTTTTGCGCTTGTTGCACCATTCGACCAGCCTGTGGGCATTTGCCAAGTGCTCCGGCTTTTTTCTCTTCCCCACTGTACCCAGCACTCATCGAATGAAGCGTAACATGTCTATTGTCAAAGCGATAGCATAGTGAATAGACTCTAGAAATTAGGTCAAACATACTTGATCTATAATCAGTCTACCCGAAATGTCCTAGCGGTAGAACCAAGCAAAGTATATCCAGCTAGCTTTTCAAACTACCGCGATATATATTCTAGAGTCACATCATTTCTGCGAGCGCGAAGCGCGCGG